ATTATTAAATATATGTATCTCCTTAGAGATAATAAATATTTACTTTTTTATTGTTTTAAAACTGCGTGTTTTTAAAATATTTCTTTATAAATATGCAAAATAAATAATAGGTATCTTTTGAACTAATTCTAGATGATCATATACATTTCAAAATCTAGTCTTGTTCTCTCAACTACATTTTTTGTCTCAAATTTAAAGCCTAGCTTGAGTCTATGACTTTATTTATTTTACTTTATTTATTTATTAATTTGCTATAATCCAAGTCGCCTATATATAAACCATATATATTTTACATATAATATTATATGGTTTTCGAATGGGGGGGGCGCTAAAAGGGTATTGTGCCCCGGGCGCGAGTTAAGCTCGCTACGCCATTGTGTTGGCCCGAGAGTGAAGAGAAGCTACCCTACCTGAAATGCGCTATTCTTGTTTCCATAGCAACAGTTGTCCTTAGACTTTGTGGCGGGGAAAGTTCAAACTCTATAGTAGAAAGTTAAGTTACTGAAGAACACTGCATCGTAGATCACTCACAATGATTGTAATTGTGTTAAATACATTTTAATATTATCTTTAAATTGAGGTTTCTGGCACCTTAAACAGACATGGGAAAAAGTTCCTCTTCCTTTCCTGTGGTAAGAAATGGTTCATGAAATTAATCAAGAATACTTGATACGAACTGTATTTCAGGAAAGCATTTTAAAGTCTTCATTTTTAGATATAAAATGTGTTTTATAGAGTTAAAAAAAAATTATGTATACTTTGATTAGTGCAAATATCTTGCAAAATCCAGGGTCAGCTGAAAATGTATTCATGTGCTTTCTTTTCCTTCCCTTGTTTGAATAGTAAAATAAGTTATGTGATAGAAAATTCGAATTATTATAAACTTTTATTCGATAATTTCAGAGATGGCCGTACTCTTCTGGATTTTCTAGTCAAGAACTATGATGTAAGCTTTTTACATAATTACTCTTATTCTGAGCTACATTATAATTATAGTTGCATTTTTATTTTATTTTTCGATTTACAACACACCATTTTATCATGTGAATGTAATCTTTCTCTATGATAACTGTTTCATTAAGTTCGAAATAAAAGAAATATTTCACGAATTTCAGAAGCATACCAGAGTGTAATTTTCACATATAAGAAACTCAGACTTACTAATTTTTAAGTCTAGGTTTTTATAAAAAATAATACAACATATATTAATATGCATTCATTACAAGAATGAAAGGGAAATGTTTTCCTGTGTCAAAGAGGGGTCACCTTAAGATTAGATGGTTAAATAAGTGTAGAATAAGTAGTATGAGGTAAGCGAAGATAGCTCCTTCGAGATAATAATATTTTATTAAACATATTTACATTTATATACAAGTTGGTTTGATTTACAAGAACATCATCACGGCAAGTGATGGGAGAAATTACTGACAGGCTGTCATGTGCGTGCTGGTATTTATACAATTCTAATATGATGACGTCAGAACTCTTAATTCAGTTCACTTCAAAAATAAGTAAAAACACAATTGATTAAAGACAAACAGATAACAATATGAAATAAACTTGATTTTACGATGAGCGGCGAACCTATCACCACAAGTATAAGTATAGAGTAAGTATATAATATAAGTTTATGATTATTTTTAGTTTCTTTATATTTGAGCTCACTTCTCTATCTTCCCAAACAAAAAGGGACACATACTTTAATAACCCATTATAGACAGTTTACTTTTAATAAATATTCTTTCAAATTGAAATTATTATATTATTTTATTCTTGTTATTATATTATTTTATTCTACAGGAACAAAAATAAATTGAGATTTTGTTTTTATGAAACAGGTATACTGATTTCTCAAGATAATAATTTAATCTTCCCCAAACTGGTATGATTAATCAAAGATGTAAAGAAATAAATTTAAATAGCTATTGATCTCATCCAGTTTATCAGATCGTTTCATATTTGATATTATGAACAAAAAATATAAATTATATGAAATTTCAACTTGGATTAATTTTACATTTAGCTAATTTTGTACTAACGTATGATGCTTTTGACATCAAAATTTTCCATTCTTGAGATCTTTAGAAATTCAGATCAGAAAATGTATTTTAACTATTTTATTTTTTAGCCAATCAAAATATCACAGTTACCAACCCAAAATTTAAAAAAAGAAAGAAAAGAAAAAACAATTGTGCAAATAATCCAATATAAATTCTGTTTTTTTTTTTTTTTTTTTTTTTTTTTTTTGTCATTGTTTCAACAACAGCAATTCCACGAATTTCTAAGTTATTAAAATTCCTATATTTCAATATGATATAATGATAAGCAAATTTTGATTCTCGCTATTGAGTATTTTTTCAGTCCTTGATTTGTGATAATTAAATTGTAATTTATTAAATCATAATTAATTAGATTGTAATTCATTTTTAGTTTTTGTTCAATTGACTTTTAAATCTCAATGTTTTCAATAGAATATTATTACAACATATGAATTTCAAAACACACTCTTAAATAATCTCTTTTTGACGCAATTTTACAAAAGTAAATGGGGGAAATCATATGCTGACAGAAAAAATTCTTTCCTCTGAGAAAAGAATTGTATGATTCATCATTTTTCAAACTTATTTGCACCACTGGATTAAGGCACTTAAATCTAAGGTTTTTTAGTTTGATTTGAAGATCAACAATTTAAAAAGCAAAAATTATTTGCTAGCTTTAGATAAAATTTTATTGCTAATGAATTGATTTAGATTATTTATTTTATTTTTCAAATGCTTTATTAAATATGTATGTTTTTTCTTTTTACTAGATAATTTAAATCTTCAATAACAGTTGACATTCAAGTATAAGTAAATTTAACTCAAAATCAGAATGCATTTTCATAAGGATATAAATTTTATTTATAAACATCTATATTCGAAATATGTGTGATTAATAATTTTTTCATGATAATGAAACTTGTATTGAAATAAATGTTTAATTTTTAGTTCAATATTGAATGGATGGATTCTGTGTATATATTTGCGAAAAGTCAATACGAATGTGGTAATTACTTAGCTGCGACACAATATTTGTACCTGTATCGTTTACTTGTAAGTAATCTTATACAGTTGAAATATTATAAATTTTCCACATTTTTAGAGAAGTGATGGAAAAACAATCTTATATTAAAATGTTTCTGATACAATTATTATTTTTTTAATTATTTACATCAAATTTGAAGATTTATTTTTTTGCATTATGTAATTGAGTTTTGGGAAAACTATTAGCTAGGAAATTATGATTTTTGAAAACCACGTATCCTTATGATTGTAAATAAGTAATTTGTCTCACTTTGTTTAAATTTTGAATTAATTTTAATTAAATAGTTAAGACTAACGATTTTTCAGATTTCTAAAAAATTTCATTGCAGTAAAATAATAATTTTTGCAGCCGTGATACTTTTATGAATAGTGATTAAAAAAATGCTTTTAAAATTTTTTAATTTCATTTCAGAGTTATTTAATTTTTAAATTTTGACCATTTCTAATATAACCCAAAAGATTAACAAAAAATATGTATTTCTTCCATCTTTTGTATAGAACAACAACAAAATATTCTTCTTTCATTAAAAAAAGGAAATATTTTAATTAGGGGGCTTGATGTTAATATTTATCTAAACTAATATGGCGAATTATTCTATTCATTCTTTGCCATCAACTCTTGTGCCTTCCTTACCTTAATCGATCATGTAACGTGTCATGTGTCATACTACCTTTTTCACCTTCTTTCAAAGTTTTTATTCATTTTAACGGAATTATTTTTGAATTTAAGTCTTTTTTATCTGAATTTTTAATCATGTATATGTTTAATTTTCATGTTTAATTTTCTTTCAGGTTGAATTTGATTATTCAAACTTATTTATCAGCATGTAAAAGACAAAAGAGTCAATTTAACTTTTTCTGATTTTAATTTCCATTCTTTTGGTTACAGCTTGTACAACAAGTGAATCATTTTCAGGATATATTGTTTCTATTCAGTATTCAAGTACCTAAGTATTTATTATCCATTTCATGGAATAGTGAAAAATTATTTCTTCATTTTAGCTACAAATTAAATTCCTTTCTTTTATTTATTTAACAATTGGTTGATTATTTATTTTATTGACTTTTGGATAAAAATAAAACATTTCCCCAATTGACCTCACCAGTTAAGCCACAGGGTTGTTGAGGTTCAATTTCATGTCCAACAACCTGATTGTGCCAGTCTGGTCAGCATTGTGCGCTTCAAGCCATCACTGAGGTATGGTCCAAACCCAGTTTTTTCCAATAACAGTTCAATTTCTTAGCCACTGAATAATCGCGACTCTTTTATTAGTACATATAATTAAGTATTAAATTGTTAAATCAGTTATATATTTGCAGCAAAAATTATTATATTGTGAAAATATTAGCCACAAACTAATTAAATTTTTATGTTAAAGCAAATGAAATTCGCTTTTATTTATGATTTAGGAATTTCATTTGGCAAAATGTGAATATCTCCCTCCCTAAAATATTAAAATCACAGTGCCCCTCCCCCTGTATGCCATCTGTGGTCTGTATTTCAAAAGGGGACTTGAAAGCCTTGTTACTTTTACTCTGAGTATTCATGAAAATATGTGAAAAGGATATGAAATGAAGTTAAAAAAGATAAAAGTAACAGAAAAAATCTTTTTCATACCTAGAAAAAAATAAAGTTCTATTAGGAATCTTTTATTAACTTATTGTCTTAGTGCCAGCCTGAACTAGATTCTAGCAGTTTCATTCATAGTGTTTGCTGTGAAATGTAATTTTTTTTTAAAGTTTATTTAAACGAAATTAGAAAAAAATATATAACTTTAATCAACTAGATACTGTAATAACTTTTTTTTGTTAATAAATTATTTTTAAGCAAAAGGAAACTTTTTAATTTTGCAGTTTTTTCTTTTATATGTTTGTATTGTGTTGTAATAAATTACTTTATAATCTTGAAACAATATTTGTTTTAACTTATTTGCATTAAATGTTTTTATTATTTTTATTTGTATTTTCTGTACTCTGTAAATAAATAATGCATAAACCAGTCATGCATACATGCTATACATAAATCAGTCATACATATTATTTTAAAGCAGGATTGAAATATGCCCTACATTAAGATCTCAACTATTTGTTACTTGTGGAAAACATTCATGTCGGATTTTAAGATAGGAGCTATTTTTTCAATATTCATGTGTGAATAAATTTAAAAAATTGAGTATTTATTCTCAACGTGATACATATTCATTTAATAATCACAATTAAAACTCTTATAATTTTTCAAAACATACAAAACCCAACTAGTGTTATTTAAATCCTATAATAGTCCTTGATTTTAATTATAATTATTGTTCTAGTACAAAATATTTGCGTGCATATGTTAAGAAATTTTCATTTGATCCATGTCCAAAGTTAAATCACTAGGTTTATACTTGTTGCATCTGTGTATCATGGAAATTCTATTGAGTCATAAAAAAAAATTTACAATAAAAAAAAATTTTCTTTTTAAGCAATTATACATAAAATAACTTAAGAGGTGAATGTTTTAATGGAGAAAATCAGCATTGATTTCAAGTAAAAAAATATTTGGCTCCATTAAACTTTATTTCTAAAAAAGTCAAAATTTTAAAATTCGAAGTCAAAAGAAGTACAGAAAAAATTAAAAGTATCCAAAAATTTAAATTACTTGTGTTCTTTTAAAGACATATAAAAATGAAAAAATTGCATGTTAACTGCACATAGAAAACAACTTTTTTTTTCTTGTTAAGTTGAACTCTGATAGAAAAGTTTATACTTAATTATTTTTTATTGGCTCATTTTTTACTAGCTTAATTTTCTTGTTGCTTTGTGTAGAGGCAAATTATTCAGCTTTGGATCTCATAATAAAGCAGATAATTGTAAAATGTTTATGTGATGTTTTTAAAATGAGAACATAATTGTCTACATCTGGAATGTCAGGTTACCTGAATTTTTTTCCAGTATAATTTTCATTCCTTATTTTATCTCTGTTTTTCAAATATATTTATAACATGTTGGATGGAATTCCAAATTCATTGGGTATTTTCAATTTCTTATGAAAACCCTTTCCGAATCTGCAACTTTTCAGCTAATAATGGTGATGAAACACAAACATGAAAACTCGACATGTTACAACCCTATTAATCATCCACAATTAGTGGCATGTAGCTTTAATAAAATAAAAAAATAGCTGCACTTCAAATAAAACCATGCCTTTCAATCATTTCATTAACCCTCATTGAAATACTTTGCTGCCAAAGTATTGTGTCTTAACTTTTTTTTAGGAGTTATAGGCTTTTGATGACTAATTAATAGTTAATTAAATAAGAAGAATGCGGAATGTCGTTCCCCCTTTTGTTTTCCTTAGAAGTAACAGCATAAGGAAAAATTTTTAATGAATTCGTTGTCGGCAGTTATAAGAAAATAGCCAATTATCTCATTACCCCTTATTTTTCTTTTTTCAAGCATTATTTTGCTACAGAATTCTAGGGATTAAGCAAAATTGATTTGCCAGAATTATGAATTATCCAAGCTTGACTATAATATGTATAAATATTAGTATTTGTTTGCATATAATGTATTTGTTTGAATATGTAAATATTGTAAATCTTCATAGGTGCCATCAACTGATAAAAATTATCTAAATGGTATGTGGGGAAAACTTGCCGCTGAAATTTTAATGCAAAACTGGGATGCTGCTTTAGATGATTTCAATCGTTTGAAAGAATTTATTGACAGTAATGTAAGTGAAGCTGTTCATTTTTATTTGTAAATTCTATCTTTTGTGTATTATTTATTTTATTTAAAAAAAATTATGTCAAATTATTTTTTTTTATTTAAGGAAAGGCTGTTCTATTGTTTTTCTCACTTTAATTTATAGTACTTTGAAATTTTAAATAGATTATCGCAAATCTAATTGTAAAAAATTGAACTAAGACATTTTATTTATCATTAAGTAAAAATATCTAGAGAGTGTTCCACAAAAATTTTACTCATTGTGCAAGAATTACTATTTACGATACTTAGTTGAAAAATATATTGACAATATTTTTTAATTATTCTAATACTGTTTTCTTTTTTTCTTTTCTTCTTTCTTTCTTTTATAAATTTGCAAGCATTGATCTTGTTGAATTGTTATTGTCTCATTACACTGCAATATTGAAAATACTATTTTAATAAACTTTCACTGGATAATATTTATTGTACTTTCAAAATGCTAAAGAATTTTATCCTATTCAAAATACTGAAAATTTTCATTTCTTCATTTCTTTTATGAACTTAGATGTTTTTCTTTTGATATATTTTAATTCATAAATTTTTGGATGAAATTGATGAAAAAATTATTATTAAACAATTTTTTTTACAGTTATCTTTATTTCATTTTATCATAAATAAACAAATTCCATTTTCAATTGTGACAATAAATTTTTTTAATAAATGGAAAAAAATTTTAAATTGTTTTTGTAGTTTATTCTTTACCTATATCACATTATCTACCTACAGACAACAGTGTCACAAAAAAAGTCAAAATTTAAGTGAAAAACAGTAGTTAACATTGTAACTATGTTAATTAAAAACTGAAAGCAATTCTCTAAACCCAAAAAGGTTATTCTGATTTTAAAGAATAAAGTTGTGATGTACACTAGGTGTAAAAAGGTTTAACTTTTTTTTATATTTTATTTAATTTTTTGTAATTGAAATTTTATTTATTTATTTTTTACTCTCTAGCCTTTTGGTTCAGCACTCATTACTTTGCAACAAAGAACTTGGCTGATACATTGGAGTCTTTTTGTATTTTTTAATCATGCCAAAGGACAAGATCTAATTATTGATACATTTCTCTTTCAACAACAGTAAGTTTCAATTTATTGTCCAACTGAAATGAAACATAATAAGTTATATTTCAAGCAATCTAAAGTATAATCAATTTTTTTCACTGTAAATTTAAATTGAATATCTCCTCATCAAACAAATTATCAGCTTTATTTTGAGAAACAAAAGAGTTCCTTACTTTTAAAAAAATATAATAGAAATCTGATATAATAGAAGTCGATACTCAGATAGCAGGTAACCCCTAAAAACTTTTTTTACATTTGTAATACCTTTTTGAGAATTGTTATTTGTTTTTATCTATATTAGTTGAAGCTTTGGTTTTAATGAGCTAGAAGAAATATAACTGATAAAAATGCAACTCGCTTTCCTTTACTCACTCTTAACCTAGTCTAATTGCAACCAAAAATCAGACATGGTATCTTTTTTTAACAATTATGAAAAATTGATTGTGCAGTCTTTATATATTTATGTATTTATTTTTTTTTTAATAAAAGAAGAAAATGAAATTTTTTTACTAGTAAATTAGGAAATACTTCAATAGTGTATGTATAACGATCACATGCTAATGATATTCATTAAAAATCAAATTTTATACTAAATGCTTAAGCATTCATTTTTTATGTATATTTTAAAATGTTATGTTTATCCGCTGTTATTTATTGAAAATGTATCTTTCAGTACACTTTTTAAAAAAAGATTTCATGAAATCATATTAAATTAACACATTTTTTTAGTATGTTTAAAAAATCAAGCAGTTTTTTCATGATTACAGAATTTACACAGATTTTATTTCACTTTTTACATTATATGTAAAAAGTTAAAATTTAGACTAAATGTTACATATTTAAATAAATTTGCTTGTATAGAATATTTAATTTTAATGTTTGCATTAAAAATGCTAGAATTTTTTACTTTATGTTTGTTTTTAATTATTGCGCAATATTTTACCTTTCTTTCCCCAATTCATTTTTTTTTCTGAAAAAAATCTTAGTTTGATAAAATCTAGTGTTAAAATATAAATTAAAAGGCTGTATTATTTTTTCATTTATTTTCTTCCCAACATTGCTATTTCATAATTAATTCAATTTTAATAAATAAATTTTGTTATTTTTATTTTCGTTTAAGCAAGGATTTCTTTTATTTCAGTTAAACTTCTTAAACATTAAACACTGAGCATTTTATTTTTGTTTCTTTCAATCTTGTTTGGATAATAATGCTGTTAACTAATTATACATGTATTAAAGCATATCCAATGGTACTCACATTATTTCTTTCCATGATTGTTATACATTGGTATATATTGATAATGTTCAGTTCTAATTAATAAATAATTTTGTTATTTTGACTTTCTAAACAAGCATTTATTTTCTAAAAATCTACTTTTATCTATATTGATATTGTTATTCAAATTAATAATAAATTTATTAAATGGAAATTATAAAAAATAAGCGTGAAATAATAAATCTAATTTTTTTTTAATTCTAAATTTATTTTTAAATATAAATTTTTCTGTGTTTAATATCTATACATTCTTGAATTACAATCAAAATAGTACTAATTTAAAATTAAAAAAATGTTTTCATATTTTTTTCTTTAGAAATTATAGAAAATTTGATTTTGTCTCAACAATGGCCACCCTGTTTTATTGCAATGATAGTAAAATTCATACAAATTTGAAGTCTTAATTTTTGGCAATTATTTTATCTAACCTCAAAGTAATATAAACTTCATTCTCTATATTTAAAAGGTATTTTAATATCTCTCAATTTTTTTTTAAAGTATCTTTATAAAAGGTTGATTTGTTTCATAATTTTTATCTTAGAGTAATTTGGCTGAGGGGTTTTAACAGAAGTTTTTAGAAAATGTGTTGATTACGTTTTTTTATCTAGTGAATTTAATCAACTTAATTTGAAAACAATTTTAAAAGATAACAATAATTAAATTTTCTATGATCATTCATTGCTTCTTTAGATATTTAAATGCTATTCAGACCATTTGCCCTCATATCTTGAGGTATCTCACTACAGCTGTAATTACAAACAAACAAAGACCATCTGTTATGAAAGAATTAGTAAAAGTTATTCAACAGGTTGGTTTAATGTCTGTTTATTAATCATTGCTATTATCAGTAGTTTAAAAATACTTTTGCGAATTCGTTTTTGCATGAGCTTTGATTAGTTTTTCTTTATTTTTTACCTGGTATATTTATGTTACATAATAATGTGATATTTTAGTTCTCTGCTCTTTAGGTATTGTCCAAAATATTTTTATCAATCTACCCTCTTTAGTAGGACCCTATTATTACAACTCTTCCATTATAGCGACCTATACGGTTGAAGCCCGATTTTTTATTCCGTAAGCTTTATATATATATATATATGTGTGTGTGTATGTATTAACACCTATTATAATATCTGAACTGAACTGTTCATTCCAATACCGCAACTGAAATTATGTTTGTTTGTTCTTTTTTTAATTCCAAGAGATTCACTCTAAAAACAGGTATTAAGCATTATTGCTCTTTCTAAATAATAATTTTTTCCATGGAAAATTAATCATTGGAAAGCAAAAGTCGCAAGAAAATGCTTTGATACACTATTTCTTTGGATGTTACCGCTCAACCGTGAAATATCTTGAATTCTCTATGAATGAAGAAAATGTGACAAAACCACCTTCTTCTTTTTTTTTCCCAATTGGTCTTAGACGTACTCAATGTTCAAAAAGATGGTGAAATATTGATTACTTTTCATTATAGAGAACTATCATCCTTGTGTGTAAATCAGAAACCTGTGTGCATTCATCACATTTGTAAATTTATTTACTAAGGTTTTAATGAGTTCGTCTAACTTATTCTTTTCTTGTTTGAAAAGAGCATTCACTCTCTTTGTGAAGTGCTGTGATAATTTTGTTGTTGAAACATGTGGTATTTATCACATTCTTCTTGATTTTATTTTTGGTCAGAACAGAAATAACATATTTTGAAGGAAGTGGATAGAAGAATTATGTTTTTGTCATAAGTCCACTATTAATGAATAAATATTTGCTAATGTTTTGTGTATTCACAATATAGCAACCTCACATTATAATGCCTATTTTCGTTTGGATCACAGGGATCGTTAAATTGAGCATCATCTGTATATACTAACATAATAAAAGTTATAAATTAATCAGTAGTATAAGATTGGCATTCTGATCATTATAGTTATGGATCTTACCAGTATTACATATTGTTGTTTGCTGCATGTTATTGCTGATCATCACCGTAATGTATAATTTTCTTTCGAATCTTTTTGTAAATGCCAAATTAATTATAATTCTAAAGTCTACTTTTTTGGTGTAATAAATAGTGCAAAATTGAAAGTTTTATTTTTATTTTTTTGGAGTTTTATTAGTACCATTTATTGCCATTTTATATTTGCATGAGTTAGTATCTCTTTTTTCTGATTAACACTGTTAGGTAGCAAGCTACTCTTTTAGTGAATATCAAAAGAATTCAAACTCCGATAATTACTCGTTGGGGTTTTATCAGTACTATTTATATGCATGAGCTATTTTATATTTGCATGAGTTTTTGCTGATTAACACTGTAGTGGGTAGTTAGCCAACTACTCTTCAGATAAATGTCAATGTAATTAAAACTCTAATAATTATATTTAAGGAGTCTTACCAGTATCGGGACCCCATCACCGAATTTGTAGAATGCCTGTATGTGAATTTTGATTTTGATGGTGCTCAAAAAAAATTGAGGGAATGTGAACAAGTATTGGCCAATGATTTTTTCCTCGTGTCTTGCTTAGATGCTTTTATCCAAAATGCAAGACTGGTTATATTTGAAACATTTTGTTGTATTCATCAGTGTTTATCCATCAAGTAAGTTGTATGGTGGTTTAATTTTCTTTTTATGAGTAGTATATATTTTTTTTACTTAACAGAAAGTCGGTATCTATTTTAATTTTTGTTTGTTTCTATTTTCATTTTTGTTAGTTAATTTTAATTAAAATTCCTTTATGCCTGCTCGTAACAAAATCATAATGCTTAGTACTAAAAAAAAAACATACTGTAGATATAATATCATCTTGAAAGAAAAAGAAAATCTTAATTTTCACCTCTGTAATGATGTTTAATTTTTAATAAATTCTGAAACAGTTTCATTCTGTAATATTGCGATAACTTGTAACATTTTTTTTAAATATATGTTCAAACAGGAGGGCAAGGAGTCAATGCTATAAGGCATCGAATCAAAAAAATTAAAATAACCCTGAAACTTTAAATTTATTATTATTAATTTTGATCTTTATGCAGGAAATATGATTTCCAAATAAAGTTTTGGCAAAAAAAATAATTAGTTTATAAATATAACATTTTGTTGGGAATAATTAATTTTTACCATAGAATGAATTCCGCTTATGTTTACATAAAAATTAAATATGAAATTATAGTTTTATAACTATCTTTTTTTTGTAATGTTCTTTTTTTTTGTTAAAGAAAAAAATTTCCCTCCCCTTGTGTCGATTGGACTCCTCTTTTCAGAGGAATTTAAACCAAAAATTTGCCCCATGGCATCTGTGCACTTTTGCACAACACTTCTACTGTTAAAATATCATTAAACTTCTTTTCATTCAAAATTGAAAATTTGAGTGTAAAAATTTTTTTAAAAATAAATCTGACTAAAGAATAAATTTATGCAGATTTATAACCAAAACTTTTACTGTATCTGTAATCAACAAGTGGGTTTAATGACTATGGGTAAAGTAAATTTTATATAAGTTTTAAAATAAAAAGTCAAATCTTAGAAATGGATCTTATAATGTGCCCCCTATTTTCTAGCCAAAAAATAATTTGAAACTTTATAAAATTTTGAAGCATTTCCTTTAACAAAAAAAAATCTAAATTATATCTAAGAATTGCTAGTCATATTCACTACCTAATTTGAAACATTTGACAAAACATTCCATAATTATGAAATTTTTCAAACAAATGAAGTTCAAGGATTTATTTTATAAGCAAAGGTGTAAATTGCATAGAGTGAAATAACTATATTATTTTTGCACTGAGAATTATTTAATTTCACAAACAAAAAAATTTGTGCAAGCTTTTTAAGTATTTTTATTCTTTCATAAATATGTGTTACGTTTTTTTTTTTAATTTATTTAATTTAAATAGAATGTTACTTCTGAGCGTTTCCAAAAAAATTGAATCAGTTCACTTTTTATAGGAGCAATTAAATTGTTTTTAATCAACATAAAAAAAATTAGGTTGTTGCATCCTTCAAAAGTCCAATAATCTAACCCAATGGTCTTCAAAGAGTTGGTGTACCTCCATTTTACTAAGTAGTATAATTCTGGAATGATTTCATTATGAGCCATATTTTTATCATTTCTATGAAACCTGAAAATTTTCATCTGTAGTGAATGAAATATTTAAGAAGTAGTCTTATGATCCTTTCATATATATATATATATATATATATATACATACACAGTGAAACCTCC